GGCAGTTAAAGACAAACTTTATAATAACTTCAGAATACAATTGCAACAATAGTTAGATATTAACTTAAAGGAGCTAAATCTCTAATATTTGGGATCTAGAAATGGACACAAATGGGTCGCAACGCATATAATAAATAATGTAATATGCATGTATATAAACTGATTTATATTCAATCGTTTCCGTTTTTACTCTAATTTCAAATCAGTTATGTTCGGCGAAATACGCCAAAAGTGTCAATCGAATGACTATCTCTAGCGACCTGCTTATTCCAGTCTACGCCGATAGTAGAAATTGCGCATGCTCTCCAGATAAGAATATGGCTTCACCGTTTGACATGACTTGTGGAATATGTCTAGCCTCGTTATTCGAGTCCCTTATTACAAATTGCGCTGAAACACATTATGGTACACGATTCGTGTACCAATGGTAACATGTTTATTTTGTCTTAAATATTAGATATCAGAAGCCCATCTTTTCAAGATACGATAACAACACCAATGTTGATTTAAATTGACAAATAATTCGTGTTTTCGATGTCGAAGATTTTGGATGATACTGAGTTAGAGACTTAGCTACTTTAAGTTTATCCCAAATCAAAAAAAAAATGACGGTTTGAAGATGACAAAGTCACTGACATTTGTCACCGGCAGACAGAAATGGGGTTTAACGTCCACTAAAGAGAAAACTAATGCATGTTAAATATTTTCTATTGACAATGACATGACAATTTGACAGATAATGATCTTTGTACTTGACAGTAGTATGGCAGTATGTGACACTGACAGTGTCGCTGACAGTTGTGAGAAAAGCAGTCTCTAGTACATGTTAAATATTTTCAATTGACAATGTTTTAAAAATTTGACGGGGGGTTGGATGGCGGAATGGTTAACGTGCGCGCGCTGTATCATAAAGTCTGTCATTGTGTCGACTGGTGTGGTTTCGAATCCCCAGTTGTACGTGACATGGAGTAGGGTCGCCTGTCCAACCTCGTGGGTTTTCTCCGGGTCCTCCGGTTTCCTCCCAATGCTAAAGACCCCTATGCGCAAATGAATTATTGAAATAAAATTAAACCATATGTTAGTCCCGAAATGACCTAGTTGTGTCGAGTGGACGTTAAACCCCATTTCTCTCTCTCTCTCTCTCTTTAAAAATTTGACAGATAATGATCTATGTACTTGACAGAGGTATAGCAGGACATGATTGTCATGTCAGTTGTAAACAAAGAAGTGTCTATTAGCTTAAACAAAACCCTAATACGTGTTAAATATTATTGGTTGTCAATGACATGACAGTTTTGAAAGAAAATTGGCCATCCAACCCCGCATTATAGCAAAAGATCATCTACCAAAGTGAATGATATCTATACCATGGTAAGCCCAATCTATTACAAGTGTGAACATGGTCTTGATGATAATGGTACGACAGTTCTAATTTAGTACAAGTGTTATATATTTAATTTACAGATCTGATCAAAATCAATCTTATCAGTAAGTCATTTTATTGGTATAGTTTTATATTTTCATCCGCATAAGAATTATTAATTTTGGGCTGATTGACCTTAAATTTATTCCACTTTTGAAGATTACTATGACAGTTATGGTAATGTCAATTTTAATAACTTGACTTTAACATTCTACATGTATAATATAATATGATAATAACAGTGACATGTGATAGAAAAGGGGCTACTGCATAGTTATTATAAGTGTTTGCTTATTATAAGTATTATCTAGTGGCAGGCATATTATCAACATGACAATGACGTGACATATGTCATGACAGGATACTGACATGCCATAACATGATAATTATATCCTACAATTATACAACTACTAATAAACATTTAGTGTGCGTTGAGTGGATCGCCAATTTTTTGAGCCTGGTATATCGCTTTTCTGGTTAATTTGAATTGGATCACAGCCTTTACTATCCATAAAGAACTTTCAGAAATAAATCCTTCCACCAAACGTCCAACATCTTTGCAGATCTTTGGAACGAAATGAAATGAAATGGGGTTTAACGGCCTACTGCCCTGCTCCGAACTGGGCTAATGAAGACGGGCATACGCCATACAGTGTGCTATGAGGGAAATGTTGCCCGGACAGCGGCACTACGGCCTACTCTTATATCGAATTCCAACTGTCAAGAGATCTTTTACGTGCACGCCAATGTGTAAACGGGACCTCGGTTTTTCCTACCATCCGAACGACTAGACAGCTACCCTTGTCAGGCCCCCGCCCTGCATCACTGACAAGGGGGAACCACGCCGGAACATCTGGATGAACTTTCTCAGCCAATGCAGGGATCGAACACCCGACCTCCAGGCTAGCGAGCCAGCGTCTTACCCACTTAGCCACCGCGACCCCCATCTTTGGAGCGATATGCTTTTCTAACAAGAATAAAACGATACGATCGTCGTCTTGTCAGATCTTGTTTGCACGGGATATTTTCAACTTTTAACAGTCACTCATGGGTTGTCATTTGTGTTTGTAGCTAGAAATTATAATAATACTTTGACGGGGCCCATTTTCTGTTTCTACATCTGTATTATACGGGATTCTCTTTCTCCCTACTGGATGACAATTTTCCATGTGACCGTGACCAAAACCCAGGACATACAGAGTTAATAATTTCAAAGGCAACGTCCTCTACATTTTCATCTGCAATTTCACCTACCCCATTTATCCGGAGACAATTCCGATGACTATATTGCTCGGGTTCGTCTGTATCATTGATGATTTTTGGTTCTAGATCCAGTGAGCAGCTTAGTAACTGTCCTTTTAAGTCTTCGATTTTCTCTTTATATTGAAGTTGTACCATAATGTCTGACGTTATATATATATTGCAATATTTGTACAATGTTTTGATTTAAAAATGGATTTGTCGCTAGCGTTAATTGTCGGAACATTGCCATCTGTATATTGTTAGATTTCTGGGCCGGGGTGCGTAGAAACTCTGTCAGTGTCACTGATTGTCGGAGTCAGGTTGGTTGGTCGCACAGATACACTGTGAGCCGACCTTTAGCAGAAACTTTGATAGTCTGTGGGAGTACACTGGCTAATCGTACCAGTGTCCTCAAAATTGACTATTTCTAGATTTCCAGGATCTCGCTGTGTATAATCGCGGACATAATTTTATCATTCAATACTAAGAAACCCGAGTGAACAGTCAAACATCTCAGAATGACTAATATACGTGCTCAATTAAAGATCGAATATGTTAAATTTTATGAAAATACACATTTAAGCAACATTAGAATAAGGTCTACCACCCGCAGCACGTTTCCTGCAACATAAAAAAATAAATTGTTTATTGGAATTTTCGATTAAACGTAAACTTTCCTGTAGCTGTAAAATTATCGACTAAACACGTTTAACATCATATCTTTCTACGCGAATTAACAATAAATTGTTCATTGTATAAAACGGAAACATTTGTTTACATACCTGTAAAATAATATACCAAAACGTTATTTTGCAAGCAATATCCACAAGAACACAAAATTGCAATTTTAGATTCTATTTTGATTCTCTAGGTTTTTGGGTAGAAACTGAACTTAGCAACCCCCAAACCCTTACATCAGGCATATTAAAAGCCATATCCAACGGAAACAAATGACGATTAATTAAAATTCGCCATTTTGAATTTCATTTTGAATTTCTGTCGTCATGGATTTTCGAAATTGATTTTTGAGATCATAATTGAACCCAGCGACAACGACAACCACGCAAATGACATGCGTCATATAGATCATGAAAAAATGACAGTTAACTATAAATCCGCCATTTTTTAATTCCAGTATGAATAGCTGCAATGTATGATTTTCGGAATATATATTTAAATTCAGAGACATCGAAAACCATACAAAAGACATATTAAAGGTCACATGGGGAAAATGTCAGTTTATTACGATTAATTAAAATTCATCCATTTTGGATTTCATTTTTGTGGCAATTTGCAATTTCTACCATCATGGATTCTTGAAATTCATGTTACAAGTCATATCCAACAGGAATAAACGTTGACTAATATAATATCCGTCTTTTTGGATTCCATTTTGGCTACCATTTTGAATTGCTACCTTGTTGAATTTTTAAAATTAATATATGACAAATTTCTTGAAAATAATGCAAAAGGTTGGTGTTTCAAGATATTCACTGAGGCCTATTCTCGAAGATTGATTAAAATAAAATGACCTGTTTCAATCCATCCGTGGAATATAGCGCTTTCTAGAGAAGCTCGCATAGAAACAGAAGTTTAACCAGATACTATATGGCATTTGGACCAGGCATCTGTGTACAACAATTCTCTTTTACTGTATGATGAAATTCTATAGTATTCTACAGAAATATGGGGACTTGTAAGAAATAACGGCCCCAAATATTCTACAGTTTCTGTAATGCAAATCCTATAGGGTTTTTTCTACAGATTTATGGGAAATTGTCTATAGGAAAATACTATAGTATTTTATAGATGTTTTTATAGTGTTTTCTGTAGGAAATTCTACGGTTATGTATAGGAAGGAATACTGTAGCGAATATAAAGGGCTATAATAGCAAACTCGCTATTCATACCGAGATTGATGAAACACTATTTACATATTTACATAAAGCTTATCTAATTTAATATTATTGTAGAGAATGAAATAAAATAAACTTATCTTCATGTCATTAATCAAGTTTTATGAAATAATTAGACGTTACTAGTCATAGTCAACTATGTAAGATATTCCTCTCAACCAATAGTAATATTTGACTCCTCCCAATGGAAGTATCGGGTATGGACGAATATTGATTAAAATGCGTCGTAATCAATAGTCATCTATGTAAGATATTCCTGTCAACCAATAATATTATTTGACTCGATCCTCCCAGTAGAAGTATCGTGTATGGACGAATATTGATTTAAGTGTGTCGCAATCCTCTCAACCAATAGTAATATTTGACTCCTCCCAGCTGGAGTATTGACCATGGTCTATGGAAGCTATTTCTTATGAAAATCGATCGCTGTTGCCATCCGCCTGTCTATAAAAGATGATTCAGACAGAGTAGATATGAGATGTATTTAACTTCCAAGTTGAATTAATTAACCATGTATACTTTGATTCTGAATGTGGTAGCTGTTGCCTTGATGGCCTGTACTGTAAACAGCGAGCCGTGTAAGTATTACTATTTGCGCTCGATATTTTTTCAGAACATATTCATAATTTGCGATAAATCAAAACTGATACAGATGCACCACACGTAGTTGGCCATGTTTAGATATTTCTATTTCAAGTGTTAGATTAAAACCTAACCCGAATTCAATCCAAACTAATTTTGACCATGTTTGTCAAGTGGGATGCAACCCATTCGGGTTAGATAAATTATAAGGACCCGAACTAGCAATTATTCACCCATTGACTTCAGTGTTAAATGGCTGTAACATCACAGGCTGTACCCTTTTGCTCAATATTCCGTTGGTTCCAATCCACCCATATCCGCCATTATTTCAAATTATAAGACAATAATTTATATCGATATTTGATAACAAGCGAAATTGTCTTTATTAATTTAAAATCGTAACGTTTTGTCTCAAAAATGTTCTTCACAATGCAATTTCCAGGCAAGCGATTTCGTGAAATACACGAGTTATGTCCTTTGGTTACAACTTCAAAACTTTTGAAATGGAATGTTAACACAAAAACTTTACGATTTTAAATTGAAAATGACAATTTAGTATAAAGAACGGGTTATTATCAAATATCGATATATAACTTGGGTAAATCGTGCTACCCCAATGATTGCTTTACACGATGGCACCTTGCATCCCCACCCCTCCGCTATAATATCATCTGTATTACCCAAAACTGCTACGAAATTGCAAATTTGATCCCTTTTCTCCATTTTTAGAACAAAAAGCGAAACAAAAAATGCGGAAAATGAAAAAAATAAGGGAAAAATTGTCTATTATAACTCAAATTACAAGTCTCTTAGTCCATGGCAGGTCCATCTGCATAGTAGTAAATAGTACAACCCTATAATTAAACATATATTCCCTTGACTAGATAAACGTTAATATTTTATTATTTGTTTAAATCAAGTTTTACATATTACATGTTTAGCGACTCGTTAAATATTTACGAAACGTTTGAACTTAGATATAGAATGAATTACATGTATCGCTGTTAATATATCTACGTATTTCAAAAGCTGGCCTAGGATCGACTATAGTATTTATACTGACTGAGATATGGCCTTTTGAATCAGGGTTACTATATTCACATGTTTCAAAACTACTATTGTATGACTCGATTTTGGTATTCTAGTTTTATTCCTTCTAGTTATAAGAGAACATTATTCAAATTTGGGAATTTGGAAGAACTTTTCATGTAGATTAATAATCCACTCTCAGATTTGCTGAACAGGTACTGTCTACGATATATGGCGTGCATTAAGAGTCAAAAATGATATATATTTTAAGTTTCACACAAGTCTATTATAAAATATTCTGAGAGGGTTACCCGAGAACAACTGGTCCATTATAATACTAAATCAATGGCCAGCGAAATCTTTCTCTAGCCATTGCTATACTGTGACCGGAAACTTGGGAGCTTGTCTCTTCTTATCGTCCAATCAAATCTCTCCCGAATACAGTAGAATTAGGGGAATTTTCATGACTGGCCACTTAACGTGGTTATGGTTAAGGTTGAAACATTAGAACTGCTTACCTGTAAGAATTCGATAATATTTATCCATATTTGTAAAGAAAATCCATAAATTATTATTTCAAAGAAACACATGTCAAAAAATAACGCCCAGAAAACAGGAAGCCGGATTTCTATCCAGTTTGTTGAAACTCAATATCTAACCTGATAGTCCTTCATTTTGCTCCTGGGTCTTCACTAAAACTTTCCACAGTTGATTAAATGTTGTAACAGATGGTGAAAATATTGTTTTATCCAACAGATAAAATATACTCCTCTTGTGGCAATTAATCTATGTTTACGTTGTAACTGCCTCAGATATCCTCGTTTGTCAAACAATTAGTTTTTCAGCAATATTCTGCTATGTACTGGTTGATTGAGCGTAATAAATTAACGTTATATAGCCGCAATTAGCATTATACCTTTCTGTTAACATATGTAGAGCTCTGGTTAATCCCGATTGATTTTGTTACGTTGTTGATGCGACTAATGACCAGGAATATTTTGTTGGGAGAGAAATTTACGATGTTTGAGTAGGATTAGGTCTAAATCAAACGAAGTTTTCGATATTCAAGATATCATATCTCTGTCACTGTTTGAGATAGCACGATAAAATCAGGATGGATTAATGAACACATCGATGCCGCCAAATTGGCATATCGGAGACTTTCGGAATATTCGAAGGCCTTACTATTTTTCTCGCACATGAATATTTCTCTCTCCATTTTGAAATTAAACTAAAAATAGAATGTCCGTGTTAATCTCAGAAATTTCTGTCATTTTTAGTCACCTTGCTTATTAAAATTTCCAACCGTTTGGCCGCCATATTGGATTTTTTTTTTTTGTATAAACAATATTTTTATTCAGGATGTCTGAATGGGATTGGGGAACAGGCTTAGCCTATGTAAAACCCCAAATCGATACTGAGCTGCAGACTGAAACAATTCTTAGGAAGCCGACCTTGTATTTTAATGATTGTTGACCTTTACATATAAGATTACCTTGCCCTCTTCTAATAATTAATACAGAAAAGTTTGATTTGGAAGTATAACTTCTGGTTTTCATAAGAATTAGAAATGACTATTTTGTTTTTCCGTTTTATAACGTGGTGTATCTTGACTGTCGATGTGACTTGTAATGATGTGACGTTAGCGTATAATATAACCGTACAGCCCGCTATAAAGCTACCTGTATCAATAGAGGTTCAACGATACATGTACCCTCGAATATCGATATTCGTATGTAAAAATAATAAATTTAACACGGATCAATAATATTGAAAATGAATCAGTTTTTTACCCGCTTTCTCCAACATTTGTTAAAGTTTTTTATACGCCCACATTTTGTGTTGTGGACGTATACTGTGGTCGCTCCTGTCCGTGCGAATGTCCACCTGTCCGTTTGCATTTTGTTTGTGGATATCTACAGGTCACTATTTTTTTCCGATTTGACGAAATTTGAAATATAGGTTTATATCCCAACGATCTTGGTGCCTTTTGATATTAGCGCATATCTGACCATAATTTCATTGATTGTGATCCCTGATTGTACGAAATATCACGTGTTAGCTTGTGGACTTGTTTACAGGTCAAAATTTTTATTAGATGTATGACGAAAATTAAAATAATTATATTTTCATACCCTAACGATCTTGGTTCCTTTTGTTATTAACGCATGTCGGACCGTAAAATCCTGAATTATGGCCCCTGTCGCCGCTATCCGTCCAGATGCCCACCCGTTCACATATTGTTTGTGAACACTCAACCGATCACAGTCTGATTTTGACGGCAGTCTAAAGGGCAATGTTGGAGTACACTAATATTACATGTGATAGAACCGGTTAAATATAATATTAACAATGAATCACTGCTACTGCAGATACGTAACGGAGATCTGAAATAGCCGGACGTGATGCCTAAAATGGAAAACATGAGTTATCCTTATAATATAACTGACTGAGGTATAGAGAGCGATTACAGATAAACGGTCGATTTTCAACTCACTAAAAGACTGAGAAACAGAAATGGGGTTTAAGGTCCACTACTCGACAAAAACTAGGTCATTTCGGGACTAACATATGGTTCAATTTTATTCTATTAATTCACTTGCTTTAGTGCTGGGGGAAAACAGGAGGACCCGGAAAAATCCACGAGGTTGGACAGGTGGTCTTATTTCTTGTCAAGCGGGAAATCGAAATCACGCCACTCGACTCAGTAGCAGATCCTGCGATAACCATTCTTATTCAATCTCTAACAGGAATGATTCAATTCCGTTCAACATTGAAATTACATCATTATTTGTCCGTGAACCAAACTGATAGATCAAAGTGTTTTATATTCGAACTAGTAGAATATTTAGTATCATTTGTTTATTTCTTGATTAAATATTGTCCATGGCGTAATGATTTCTTCAATCGGGAATATATCACATATTTAAATAAGTGTTTATTTACGATATTACCAATATTATAATTATTTTACAGTGAGAGTATGTAACGTGACCGAGTGTACGAATTCAGGGAGACAGTGTGTCCTATACAGATGTGTGACCGATGGTAAGATACCTATATAGTCTTCTATCAGCTATATTTATTACCAATCCAGTTATTATCCACTCAAATAACTATGATCTTGAAAATTACTGATAAAATTAAAATTCCATCATATAATATGTCGATTAATGTACAAATGAACTAGACATTTTCCGTGGCTTTGTAAAATTTTACATAATCGTTTTTAAAATGGCTAAATAGTTAAAGAAATATATCGTTAATAATTTTCCCTCCACTAAAATAAGTAATTAGTCAATCTTCATTACCTGTAATTTCCGTGGATTGCTTTGTCAAACATAATCGTTTTTAAAATGGCTAAATAGTTAAAGAAATATATCGTTAATAATTTTTCCCTCCACTAAAATAAGTAATTTGTCAATCTTCATTACCTGTAATTTGTTTAGATTCAGATTGTGACTGTGATGGTGTAGTATCTATTAATGGTACTTGTGTAGACAGAATCAAGTATAACATGTTACCTGTCTGTTGATTAATGTATAAAATACAAATAGTTATATGTCATTAGACCATTACCCTCTAACTTTATAATTCAAGTTCAAACGATCACCAATTATAATAAAATTATTGAAACTGTCTCGGTAATAGTTTTATCAAACCCGTTAGAATATTTATATAAAAAAATTATTATTGTCTAAACGTTTTCAGTTTGGTAATAAAAGTCTTAATTGTGGTAAATACTATGAAACTGTAAGACTTCCCGTGTTCACAAGGTTTAAAAACAACATCACTAATTTCTTAACAATTTCACGAAACAGTCTGAAAACAGGGGATGGCCATCTTTAATATGTTGATCACATCAGTTGCAGCACAATCCATGAACTACTGTAATAGTAAGTGCAGGAGGAACGCACTACAAGATAAACCTGTCGACAAGAAACAGTCAGCACCCTCAAATGGTTAACCGACATATCACAATACGTTAATATGGCGTTCTATTTATAAACTCTATTATATATATGTTTTATTTTTCAGGTAGACATTGTAATGTTGTTATAGATGACATGTTTAATTACTGTTATGATAAGGGTATGTTGTTTATTTTACTAACTTACAATATTATTTAATTTGACAATATCTAGTTGAGCTACTATCTTTTACTTGAACTGGTTAGATATATATATATGATGATATACACTGTTTATTTAATATCTATGTAACAGCCCATATCTATATTCATGCTTTGGGCTAGACGAGAGAAACTATAAATAAATCAGACAACTATTGTACTAGCGTCCAACAATCTAAATGTTTCAGGTGAACAATGTGGGGAAGGATTCTGTACTAAAGGTACAGGATGTAAAAACAACACGTGCTTGAGTAAGTATAATATACATGTAGATAAATGTTATTTAAAACGTCTATTTATATAATCAATGCTGTTCTACTTGATCATTTGTATGCACTTAGCAGGATATACATAATGCCTTAACAAGGGGAACACCTGGTAACACTATCCTATGTTGAATGATTTGTTAGATTTTTATCAATCTGATCACATTTCTCTTATCTTATGAAAGTAATCTTAAACACAATTCTATATTGTTAATTATATTTATTATAGTTAAAGCAGGCTGTGGTTGGAAGGCTGATGATACCCCTTGTTGGTTTGCTGCTAATGCCCATTGTTCAGATGGTGTTTGTCTCAGTAAATATGATTTATATAATAGACAGTCATTTATACAAACCCGATGTATTTATTAATAGATACAATTTCTAGAAATTGTTAGGAGTATAACTGTTGGAGATATGACCACCATGTACCTGATAGCCAGGATAGTATCCAGCTAAGTATTGGCCAATATTTGACTTGAATTATTTTCACCTGATCTATATTCAGATAGAGGGTGGGGTGGGGTGGGTGGGGTGGTGGTGTGCGAGTGGTCTAAGGCCAGGTACCCCTATTATAGCTTCCATCATAAGTCTAATCCCCAACTTGTAATAAACGTTTGAATAAAGGGTCTAATCAATAGTGTTGAGGGATTGTTATAAACCCCTACTTCTACATCTGTTGATAGATAGTTAGATATTGTTGTGTGTAATAATTACTTATTGTTATAGTACCGTGTAGTGAAGACAGGGATTGTTGATAGATAGTTAGATATTAATAATATATCACCTATTGTTATAGTATCATGTAGTGAAGACAGTGATTGTTGATAGATAGTTAGATATTGTTGTGTAATGATATATTATTTATTTTTATAGTATCATGTAGTGTAGACAGGGGGTGTTTTGGTGGGCCATGTATCGATGGAGTCTGTGCACGTAAATAATCACTATTCTATTTATAATCACCTATCAATATCACCCAATATGTATATATAAACACGTTTAACCTCTATATTTGAATAAGATAAAAGATTCAAGCAACCCTCGTCATGAGAACAAACAACAAGTTATGACTTTATAAGTATATTCACCTAATAATGTTATTAATCGTCTACCATGGTGTACGATAGGGTTACATTGTCTTTTCACAAACATTCATTACTTTAATGTGCCTGATGCTAATCATAGTGGGGGTGGGGTGTGAACCATATCTCAAACATATGGATAGGATTCAGAATGGCAGTGATGTTGGAAACATAGACATCTTTTTTTACATCTAGTAAACTCAATTCAGAGAGACTTAAGCTTGGACATAATGACGTAATAACATGTCACGTTGTTTGTCAGTAAACTCATACATAAACTCTCTGATCAACGTAGGGATTATTCGGCCATCTTATCAAGATGACGTCGTCAAAGAAACCTTTTAATCCATTAAACTAATTAAGTCACTTGTTTTACTTGATGTTGTAAAACTAACATATAGCGTTTCCCACGAATCTTATTTCCATATATAAATTTATTTTATGACTTGTTTATTGATAATATATAAACAATGTTTTGTATATTTCAGGTTTTAAATGTGGAGATTCGTTTTGTTTAGGCTTGTAATATTTGACCACTTCTTTTAAATAAATGAATGCTATTTAGTTCTTTCTTTATAAATTATAATTCTAAGCCAACAATATATTGATCTAAACCAATAACTACAACATATTCATCAGTATTTCTTCATAAAAACAAGATAAACCAAGATTTCAAAATGTAACCCAGATTGAAAATAAATAGTTTGTTCTTTCTTTGTTGTTCATTTTGTTTACCTCGTGTTACTGTGTTTGTCCGTCATCCATGTTATATTCCGTATTTTGTTAACCTTAATTAGGCGATTAGTAGAAGAAACAACAGCTGCACGGGCAAAATTTCACACACTATACACCGCTTTATACCGATTCACGCAGAACAGTTTAAAACCCCACTTCATTTTGAAACATCTCGTGAACAAGTGTCACGATTTGCCATAATCAACCCAGCCCTATCCTGCAAGATACATAAAGATGGCGTTACTCCTTCTTGGGCTTCCAGATTATAAAGATGGTGATGTAATGATTTAAACAACCAATACGAGGGCTGGCTGAACAGTTTTAAACCTGTCTCTGTGAAAGATTTGTACAAAGTCGACGCTTTCCGTTTATTTTTCTACATAGTCCCCTTCGAGGTGCACACAATATTGGCGACGATATCCACCCTAAAAAAAAAGTCGTTCACAGCTGACATAATAAATGGTTGTTTAAATCATTACATCACCATCTTTATAATCTGGAAGCCCAAGAAGGAGTAACGCCATCTTTATGTATCTTGCAGGATAGGGCTGGGTTGATTATGGCAAATCGTGACACTTGTTCACGAGATGTTTCAAAATGAAGTGGGGTTTTAAACTGTTCTGCGTGAATCGGTATAAAGTGGTGTATAGTGTGTGAAATTTTGCCCGTGCAGCTGTTTTTCCTTCTACTAATCGCCTAATTAAGGTTAACAAAATACGGAATATAACATGGATGACGGACAAACACAGTAACACGAGGTAAACAAAATGAACAACAAAGAAAGAACAAACTATTTATTTTATCTGTCTAGGTTCCCCGCCGTTATGTCATTTGTGCGCATTGTATGCCATTCGGAACTGACTAGGTTTCGTATGTGATCAGATATTATGTAATTATTTTTGTATTATTCTTGTATTGCGTGCCATTGAAAAAGATATGAAATAATCTTTTCGTCGCGTTATGGTCCACGCGATTCTAGTCAGGCCCAGGGCCCCACCCCGGTTAAGCTGGGCTTTGATCCAACCCACGTGGTGTGGGGTGGAAAGTTTTATTTCACTGGCTGGGGTAGGGTTGGGGCACTATGAGAGTGTAAGTCATCTTTTACTGAAATACCGGACTTGTAATATTCATGCTATATGTAAATGCCAATCTGCATTAGGCAAAGGGGGTGGGCCACACAGTACGCTATTCTTTATTAAATGTCTGTCTGTTGTACTTTTGTAAGAGAAATAAAATTGCCAATTCAATTCTAATAGTTGTTTATTGCATTGGGTTTCCTTCTTTTAAGTCAATTACAACATCACATAGTGGAAGGGATTAACTACATTATACAAAAAGACAATCATAAGAAACCTGGAAATATTTAAACTATCAATGGACAAAATTCTATGTATGATACTTGAGACTATCCGGCAAAAAATTCAATAAGGGGAGTCTTTATCATACAAGGGATCGGGTAATCGAGACTGTAACCACATGGCATGAATGCATAAAATGTACTGACCTACATTATTAAATTATTTGGCGTTTCTACTTTCACTTTGTTGTCCAAATAAGATGAATTGAATGGCGTTGGCAAGTTATTGTTTGGCGTAAGACAGTTTTTCTCGTATTTTATTTAGAGCAAAAGTACATCTAATTAGTAAAATAATATGTACCTGATCAGACATAATAATTGTGTAGCAATAATATTTTTAGTTAGCTGATAGTAGTGATAGTGAAAAAACTTCGATCAGTCAGGAGGTAATTTGTAGTTGACTGGCTAACCGGATGTGGACAATTTGTTGTTCATCCAGGGGTGTTGCTTTCATCCATAAATCGTGTATTTCTTTACGTAATCTAACTGGTGATAAATTTGACAGTTTTGAATATCTTAATTCCAATGTATCTATATCCAATAATTTAATTCGGTGCATTATTATTTATCGTGCTCCATCAAAATCTGAACAAATCTTCTTTGATGAATATTTTAATTTTTTAGAAAAGATTAGTGGTGCGAATGAATTATTAATTCTTGGAGATTTCAATTTCCATGTGGACAGCCTATTAAGCACGTCTGCTAATCAGTTTAAAGACATGTTAAATAACCAGTCGTTTAAACAACATGTGCAAGTACCAGCTCATAATCGCAGACACACACTAGACATAGTGATAACAAGAGAAGACGGTCCACTTGTGTTAGATGATGTTGACGTTTTTGATGAACTCATTTCTGACCATTTCCCAGTGAAATTTAAATTATCAGTCCGAAAATCGGACTTTGAAACCAAATCAATAACTTACAGGAAGCTTAAGAATATAACGTCCGATCAGATTGTGAATGAACTTGATAACACCGAATTGTTTAATATTCATCTTCTCAGTGACGTTAATACTAAAGCCCATAGCTATTTCAGAATAAGGGGATCACGGTGCTTAAGTGGGTAAGACGCCGGCTCGCTAGCCTGCATTGGCCGAGAAAGTGCATCTAGATTTTCCGACGTGGTTCCCCCTTGTCAGTGATGCAGGACAGAGGGAATGACAAGGACAGCTGTCTAGTCGTTCGAATGGGACGAAAAAGCGAGATCCCGTGTACACATTGGCGTGCACGTAAATGATCCTTTGGCAGTTGGAATTTGATATAAGAGTAGGCCGTAGTGCCGCTGTCCGGGCACAATTTCCTCATAGCACACTGTATGGCGTATGCCCGTCTTCATTAGCCTAGTCGGAGCAGAACAGTGGGACGTTAAACCCCATTTAATTTCGTTTCTATTTTACAATACTTTACGAAACACTTGACAACCTTGCCCCGTTACAAACAAAGACAATAAGACTTCGTCCAAATTCGGCCTGGTTTAAAAATGATATCCTTGAAGCCAAGAAACTTCGTAATAAAGCAGAACGTAAGTGGCGCGAAACAAATCTCACAATACATGAACAGATATTTAAATGCAAAAGGAATACAGTAAATCATTTAATACACAAGGCTAAAAAGTCCTACTACTCGGATAAAATAGAGACTGGTCAAAACACACAAAAAGAGTTATTCAGAGTAATAAGGTACGCTTCTTGATCAATATTATGGCGTCGCTAAGCTTCCAGAAACTGTGTCTGTACAGGAACTCCCAGAGAACTAATCTGCTTACTTTTCCCAGAAGATTGTAAAGATTCGTGAAGGGTTGGTTACTGAGATCAGCGGACACGTCTATCATAAGGATTTGTCTTCTGAAGTTCCAACTCTCTCTCATTTCCAACACGTGTCTGTGGTATAAAGTTATAAAGCAATCTTCATCAAAATCATGTTCACTTGACCCCCTCCCGACAATATTATTAAAAGAATGCCTACCAACCATTGTACCCATATATTATAAACACTTGTATTTGTGGAAACACTGTTCCTGACGATTTCAAAACCGCAATCATCTTCCAACTAATAAAGAAAATCAACTTAGATCAGAATCTGGAGAAAACTTACAGACCGGTATCAAATCTGAGTTTCCTATCTAAAATCTTAGAACGCGTTATATAGCAAGCCATCTCACATCCCATATCAGTGACAATAATCTAATGGAAGAGGTTCTGAGTGCTTGGAGGAAGTTTCATAGCACCGAGACTGCTATTATTCGGGTACACAATGATATCAACATGAGTTTAGACCGTCGTGAATGTGTGCTTCTAGTTCTCTTAAATTTATCCGCGGTTTTTGACTCTGTAGACCACGATATCTTGCTTCACAGGCTACAATCTGATTTTGGTGTTACTGAAAACGCTCTGATTCTGTTACGCTCTTATGTTACTAACAGCTCACAAAGTGTTGTAGTGAACGGAATATCTTCTAGCCCTTCTGTTCTGGCTTCCGGTGTACCACAAGGGCCCGTCCTCGGACCGATCTTGTTTAGTTTATACACTAAACCACTTTGCCTCATAGTAAGACATCATGGATTATTATTTCATCTATATGCGGATGATACGCAGTTGTACATTTCGTTCAACCCTATTAAAAGTAACTCCGACATTTCCAAGCTGAGTATTGAAACTTGTATTGCGGACATTAAAATCTGGATGAACAACAAATGTTTGAAACTTAATGCAGATAAGACTGAGTATTTGGTTATTGAGTCGTCTTTGAACAGGAAAAAGTTAAACTTTGATCTATCAATATAAGCAGGAGACATCTGCATTGTCCCTTCTCAGTCATCCCGAAAAATTGGTGTAATTCTTCTTTGGAAAATCACATAAACAATATATGTAAAATATGTTATTTTAATTTAAGAAACATAGCTAAAATATGTAAATTCATTAGTTAATTCGCGTATTGATTCTTTTAATTCTTTCCTCTGCGGTGCACCCCTCAAACATCTTGAAAAACTGCAAAAAATACAAAACTCAGCTGCTCGCCTTATTTCTAGAATAGTATACAGGGATCATATCACACCTATTCTATATAATATGCACTGGCTTCCTATAATTTTCAGAATTAAATGTAATATTTTATTATTAGTTTTTTAAATGTATAAATAGTATTGCACCTAGTTATCTCAGTAATCATTAAATAAACCAGAACTTGATTACCCAATCAACAATCTTAACCCCGTTGATTAATTGTTAAGTCAGGTGGAATGTATATACGAGTACAGCATTACACATTTGTAACAATTGTTATAAACATGTGCAATTTCGTTAATTTTAAAATAAAACATCGTCCATTAAACATGCATTATGCAAGAGCTAAATCTGCCTATTTCAGGTCTTTCTTTAGGCCTGAAATGTTATCTAAATTATTAATTAGACATTAATTAACCTATCCAGGCCGTAATCAACTCTAGATGGCAGCGCTAGCCTACGATCTTTAGTGGATTACTGCATAACTTTCCAACGCGATTAAACGATTAAATGGGTAATCGAGACTATGCTGTTTATCGTGCTGACTTTAGTAATGATGAGCGAGGCTTATGGGAATTTCAGTCGCTTAGTTCTCGGTTCATAGTGGATCAATTTGAATGAAATTTTCACCAAATTGCCTTTACATTATCTAGTTTTTAACTATTATAGTGAGAACTGCCAACTCGTTACCGAATCTCCCATAATGTATCTTTAAGTAAATATGGAATAACTTAATCCTTGACATGAAAAAATATGGGCTTTAACATCCATTCGACACAAACTAGGTCATTTCGGGTCTATTTTTCAATAATTCGCATGCGCGTATAGATGTCCTTAGCAGTGGGAGGAAACTTGAGACCGTGTTCATTTTCGTGGTAATCACATCGCCGCGACATCGTCACCTGTGGATATATACCGTAGAATAATTAAAATTTTCGAAGAATCGGTAAAATTTTGACAAGAGGATTTTTTTTTCAAAGGCGCCTCGTTTGGAACCGTTAATAAGTTATTAAAAGACAGATATAAAGATAAATTCGTGTGCTTTCATGACATATTATACTTAAATGATTTTCTACAGGACCGCGTGCACTTGTAGACAGCGTGTTATTGTACTAAAATCACCAGGATGAAGAAATATAGTAGGCCACGAGACCGTTAAATGAACATTTTTAAATGAACCCCTAAAATACTCTTTCATTTGGATGTTTGGCGGTTTATTTTATTTTAATGCATTTTAAATCTTTGTTAATTTATTTTAAAACTATTTTTATTTTATGTTATGTTATATATTGATATGTTTTTAACGTGTAATATTGTATGAATAAACTATAGCAGGGGCATCTATAATAACCTGTTTTAACTTCGTCGTCTTGGAAACAAACTGCAAAGCCCAACAACATTATTTATCTGAATAGCAATCTAAAATCTATTTATCAGTTGTAAAGGGAGATACTGTGTAAATATTTTAATTTTCTGCAAATTATCGAATATTCGTTGCAATTACATGTATACTATTCAAAAAAAGTAGGGGATATTTGATTTTTAAGTGTTATTAAAGTCACCTAATGAAACTGACGAAGAAACAAATGACAAAATGAAATGAAGTTCACATTCATCGATTTATTCCAAATGATCGTTAGATTAAGTAAGGCACAGACTGACCATTATAAGGGTAAAATGATACCCGGGGTCAAACAGCAAAGTTACCACAGCATCACAACCAAGTCAGTAACGGGTAAATCCTCCTCTGTTTGCCAAACAAGCATTGATCCGACGTGGCATACTCCTAATGAGACGTCTAAGGTCATTTTGGTCCAGATTGTCCCATTCCTGTTGCAACGCAGCAGCAAGTTCTTGGACATTGGCAGGACGTTGTTGACGTTGACGTAACCTCTGTCCAAGCATGTCCCAGACATGCTCGATGGGAGAGAGGTCGGGACTCAGTGCTGGCCAAGGTAATGTGGTGATGTTCTGTTGTTGGAGGTAACCTGTAACGATCCTGGCTCTGTGACATCTTGCGTTGTCATCCTGGAAGATGAAACGGCGGCCATGACGTCGTGCGAACGGCACAACATGGACTGCCAAGATGTTGTCCCGGTAGTACTGGCCTGTAACACGCCCTGCAACAACATGTAAAGCCGTTCTTCCAGCAACAGTGATGCCTCCCCACACCATAACAGAACCACCCCCAAATCGATCATGTCCGATGACGCTAACGTCTTGGAAGCGCTCGTTTCGACGACGCCACACCCTCCTACGTCTGTCCAAAAAATCAACAGTGAACCTTGACTCATCTGAAAACATCACATTGCTCCAGCGTCGATTATCCCAGTGTTGACGATCCCTACACCAACGACGTCTTGCCTGAATGGGATGATCTCTCAAACAAGGGATCACGCGAGGACGTCGGGCGCGAAGGTGACCCGTATGCAGTCGATTCCGAATCGGCTGGCCACTCACTCTCACACCAGTGTCTGTTTGAAGACGAGCGCTGATCTGATTTGTTGTGATGACACGATTTCTCAAGGCCAAGGTACGGATAAATCGATCCTAGGCTTGAGTTGTCGCCCTTGGTCGACCTGAGCGTGGTCTGTCCTGTACAGATTGTGTATCACGGTATCTGGACCATAGCCTGCTTATGACAGACTGAGAAACATTCATCGTCCGCGCCACAACCGCCAAGGGCACGTAACCTTTCATTTTGGGTAAGCCGACGCATATCAAAATTTGTTTTCTGGTCACTAAAACAATTAAACTGATGTTTCCACCCTGGAATTCAATGCCACAATGACTGTAACATTCAAAGTCAGAGTCGTGCAAATCTTGGGTTGGACCCCCATGATGATCCCAAGCATCACCTGCATTCCATGCGGTAGCTATTGGTGCGTTTGGGCGTCACATGTAACTGGAAATGTTTCTTCTGTTAGGTTCTATAGTGACTTTGTTCGTAGTCATTTGCATATTTTAGTATTATGCCCCCAAAATCAAATATCCCCTACTTTTTTTGAATAGTATATTATACTGATGTGCTGCTAATTGGCGATATTAGGTTTGTATGTTATAATATTGGGTAGTATTTTAGGTAGTATTGAGTTAGGTGATATAGGGGGGGGGGGGATGGAACAGCCAGACATCGTTAATCACATTTTAAGTACATTTCCAACGATATATCTCACTATTTCTGAAACCAATCAAGTAATATAGTAATTTTGCACCATTATGTTGTAGTATTGGGTAGTATGTAGTCATATTGGAGTGGTATTCTGGTGGTATTCGGTAGAATTGGGTAAATCGTCCCGCCGCACTGTATGGCGTATGCCCGCCTTCATAAGACCAGTCGGGGCAGAAAAGTTGGACGTTAAACCCCATTTCATTTCTTTTATGTGCGTGCCAATGTTAACGCATGTGGATCTTGATTTCCGTACAATCCGTACGACTAAGCAACCGTTCCAACGAATATCAGAACCTTGAAATCAATAAAACAAAGTCATCGATTTGAATTGGTATAAAAAATACAAATTTTATTTTCATTTATTTGAATCATTAATTCCATCAAATATACAGAACATTTCTTAAAACGGAAAACAGAACACAAACATAATATTATAAAAAAATCCCCCAAATTATTCACAAACAAACACGAGACATTTGACAAGGAACATTTTCTTGAAAACTTAGAAAAATAATTTTTACTAATTAAAAATATGAATAAGCTACTAGAAAAACGATTTTTGACATAACAATTTTTTTAAAATTAATTTTCATTGATTAAGCTTAAATTAGAAATAGTACTGAGCATTCCGATTACAATACAGATCTATATTTCGTTTCGGTTTTTTTAAACTTTCGATGGTCTACACTTTACGAAAATCTGACCGTTTGTAGCGATAGGTCGCGTCAGAGGTCATACGATCGGCTTTTGACCCTATGACGTCAAACATTTGATTAACTACAGTTCCGTGCAAAACACGCCTAAAGCTCGCCGTAACAGACCGTTTCATTAGCTAATAGCTCACATCATTCAGAACACGTCAATCATAACAACTTTTCAAGATCCTAATGTAGTAATGACAAGTAAAACGAAATTTTGAACTATAAAAACGAAACGAAATAGGATCTGTGTTTTAATCAGATTGAGTAATGAGCTGTTAGAAAAAACATATTTGATATTTGACAGAAAACAATTTCTTTGAAATTGATTTTTTTGTATTAAATCGGCCTAAATTCAAAATATAAATAAGCTACTAGAATAATTATTGTTTCTAAAGTTCCAAGTTTTTTTTCTTGGCATGCAGTGAAAATTATGAAACATTTGACAGAGCATTTCCTTGAAAAATAGAAAATAATAATGCCCCTTTAATTACAAACGTAAAGCCAAATGATACGCTTGCCTGTGATATCACCCACGGTGGAAGAGAACGTAATTAAGCCCCATGAACGAACGAACGCTGCTATATGAATTTCCCGATTTGTTGACTATATGAAATACCATCAATTAGGTGGCTACACCTTGTCTGCGATATCACCCACGATGGAAGCGGAGGGTAAGTTGAACAAACGCTGACTATATGAATTTCTCGATTTAGTTGTGACTATATGAACTTCTCGGACTAAATGAGAAGAGCTATCAGATATTCCAGTAAGTGAAGTGTTTGAATTTTAAATGGCATTATTACCACGATTTGTTTGTAATGAAAATGAAAAGAACACAATAATAATTTACAATGGGAGACAAAAATATTGAACACATGACTTAAAGTTTTCAAATCGTTACGGTTAGTTAATTTAACAGATTATAGTATTACTAGTGATAAACCGAATCGAGTAGTCTTGGTAAGAACGTATTATGACCTGGGAACTGGGCATGGCGTTAAGAAAGCTATCTTGGAATTGTGACGTCATAGAAACATCAATGAAAATTATTCAAGGAACTAGCTTGCCAAGTTTCATATCGATCGGAATGAAATTGGCGGAATCTTAGTCTTTTTTTTCGAAGAGGGTTATAAACCTGCAGCTAACATTTCTAGCTTGCGTAGAAACACACTTCCGCTACATGGTCCTGATAACTAAACAAACTATACATTTTGGGAAAGCATATAACATCAGGAACACAAATCCGAAAGTTCCAAGAAAAATGTTTGCAATAACTCGATTTAAGGTTTGATGAAAATGGTCACAACTAATAATTCTGAGGGTTCCAAAATTCCGTGTTTCCCCTAGTCCTTTATGTTTTCGGCATTTTTGTTTAAATTCAACCAATACCCTATTCTTTACCAAGGACGGAGCCATCGGGTGTTTTCACCAATATTTAATTTTTTGTGCCAACTTCACAATTGTTAGTACACATATAGCATTTACTTGACAATTATGACGATTTTCATCAGCCCTTAAAACGAGTTATTGCAAACATTATCCTTGGAACTCTCGGATCTGTGTTTCGAGTGGGATAAGCTTTCCATAAATGTATAGTTTGTTTAGTTACGAAGGCCATGTAGCGGAATTTCACACTAGAAATTCTGGCTGCAGGCCTATAACCCACAAAAAGAACAACGGCTACAAGAAGAACGACAACAACGAGCGACGCCCAGGTCCATGACATTGGTTAGAGAGAAACATACAATTATTAACATCGAAACAAACGAAATAATTAGACAAAACGAAACGAAAAGTTACAAAGTGAAATAATATATATATATATAAACCCCCATCTGTACATAGTTTATGTACATATATATTTATGCTTATTTAAATAAGTTGTTTTTTATCTCTTGAAAACGGTTGTTATGCTTATATATAAAAGAATAAAATAGAACATTACCAGGTTATAAATACAATAAGCCATCATCTACTCGATTCACCTTTACAGAACAAGTTTAGACTTTGTCGGTGTCACGGTTTGGCTTGGTACTCGGTTTGACTTGGCTCCTTGTGGATATGGAAAGACAAGACTGCCAAAAATAAAGGAACGTCACCAAGCTTAAGATCGAGTCAAACCGTAGCAAACATTAAAGGAATGCGCATCAGGGTTTTGTTTGGTACCCGGTTTGAGTTGGTTCCTTCTGAATATGGGAAGGCAAGACTGCCAAAAATAAAGGAACGCCGCCAAGCTTAAGATCGAATCAAACCGTGACACCATCATGCGTAACCATTACAGGAAGTTCGTGATCCTGTTGTCCATGATTCGTAGATCAGTCGTACTCCCTAAAACAGCACCGACAGAACACGGCGTACACAACGATCAACATTTCACTCTATTAGAGTGGTGTTCCAGTTGTTTGCTCAGTGAATCGAGCGAGTTCCGGCGTGACAATCGGAATGCCTCGTCTATTTTCGTCATACTTTTCTATAAAATGATCGACAAAGTTTAGATTGTGAAATTGCATACCAAACGAGAAGACCAGTAAAATGATAAATATTCTAGAAAAAAAACCCCTCGAAAGTTTATAACTCCACGCATTTTAAATATAAATATACATTTTGATACAAGCCTAAGGAATTATTAAATTGTGGGTTTAAAACACAATTTACTCCATTTTCACAATTAATTGTCACCGAGAAGTAAGTCTTTTCATCTTGTCCTAATATTATACACTATATTATAACATATTATTTAATTTTATGAGGTTGAAAGACTAAATTCATAAAACCAGTATTATTATTATCTTCTGGAACTTGAAACTATTTTTTATACACTGGATAATCGATGCATCCAGCACTGGTCCACCAGTCACACACCTTCAGTCGTTCGTTATAATGCAGATTTGCTGGACATTCCTTCACAAACGGGGTACCATGGGCGCAGTGTATCCACAGGGTGCACGAAATCGGATGTGGAAAATGACCATAAGGCGTCACGCAGTTGTGATTTACTCTTTCTGAAAAAAGAGACGAAATGGTAAGAATTAGAGACGATATATGACAACAGAATAAAATGAAAGTAAACAAGCCACGCCATCTTGAATATAGTTGCTGATGATTGCCTATTGGTTGACATCTTTTGACGAGTCTGCTGCATAACGCGCGCATGTTCCAATATGTGCCTGTCAGATTTGCTGCATTGTATTTAACCTGGTCTTTCAAAAGACCACGTTTTTCACTTGTTTGACTGCCGCAAATCAATTGATCGATTTTGTAAAACCAAAATAAATATTAAAACAACTGACAAGTAATAAAAAGAATGACAAAGAAAGGAAACTTACTTCACTTACATCAAATCTCAATATCTGACCTTGCCGACTCCAATAAAAAAACCTTACCCTAAGGAACTAAAGCCTTAGATATACACCTTGTAAATAATATGAAGCTGCCCTTTAGGGGATCAAACATTGTATATATATAGACCAAGTACGGAAGCCTTATCATGACAACAAAATAATAAAAACTAAGGATCCTGAATTCCTGAACTAATTTCTCTTTAAGAGTAAACTAGACTATCATACTCATGCACTAACTATAACACGTGATATTATCTGCAGATATTGTAATAAGGATACCTCTATATACGACCAACTTCTAGTCTACATCCTTTGTAAATACCTCTAGACTAAGACCACCTCTCAATACCGACCGCGTATATAAGTGGTTAACATAGCCATTCCAAGTTCCGATTTTCCGATTCTTTATTTCCTTTTCAACTCGGAACTCGGAATGCGCCTTCAATATATTTTTATAAAATGAACTTGATAACCATTCCGTCAATCCACACAAACAATAAAAAATGACCGACCTACCTTTTACGATTTCGACCGACTTAGAAAAGATACAAATAAAAAGGTGCTGTGCATGTGCAAAAAGAAATTAAATTTCTACATGAAATCTAGGATGATAAAATATCACGGTTGAAGCTAGGTGCAATAATACTGATATCTAACTAATCTGTAAATCCTAATATCAATGCTCGATATGATAAAGGAGTACGGCCTCTCCATACAGTAAGAAGATTTTGGCTTCTCGATACTAGATGAAGATTTCGGTATTTCGATACAGAACGAAGATTTTGGCGTCTCCAAAATATTTTGGATTTTTGATACTGATCAAAGATTCTGGCCTCTCGATACTGAACGAAGAATGTGGTCTCTCCATACAGTAAAAAGATTTTGGATTCTTGATACCAAACGAAGGTTTTGGCGTCTCGGTACTGAACGAAATTTCGGCCCCCCCCCCCATACCGTAAGAAGAATTTGGCCTCTCCATACCGTAAGACAAATTTGACCTCTCCATACCGTAAGAAGATTTTAGCATCTTCATACTGAAAGGAGATTTCGACATCCGGATACTGTAAGAAGATTTGGATATCTCGACTTGTAAGATTTGTTTGGCATCTGCATACAGCTATTATGTTTTAGCACGGTGGCTATCAGTGGGTAAATGGTGCAGGTTTTGAACTAACTTAAACTAAATCTATATACTATCTATCTACTCTCTAGATAAACTCGCCTACAGGTAACCAATGGCAACTACTGTTCTCCCATATGTAGCCAATGGCACTACTTTTCTATAATGTGTAGCCAATGGCACTACTTTCTCTAATATGTAGCCAATGACACTACTTTTCTCCCATATGTAGCCTATGGCACTACTTTTCTCCAATATGTAGCCAATGGCACTACTTTTCTCCTATGTATTGGTGCAAAGAAACAAGGAAAATTCCTACCCATTTTTTTTTAAATCCATGTTTACGACCTTTCAAAAGTATGAAAGACTTATATTACCGTAATTATGACCAATCATATTTCACCAAATCATTAAGTTCAACACTTCTGTAACGGAAACGACGGCATTGTGTTTCTCTGAATGACTTCAATGTGGAAGTCACGAAACCTTTTCAACGATAAACATCAAAACCTGTGGAACTTAGTATACCATATTTAAAAACAAAACTAAACTATATTAAAACCATCAACTATCATAATTCAACTAAATCGTAGATAATCCCTGAAAAGCAGATTCAGCGAAGTCTTATTTTTATTTATTTATAAAGCATAACATTGTTATGTATTGATTGGCTTTATGTTCTGGACCTTACAAAAAGATATTCCTTTTTAACTTCCGAGAATGGAAGTCGAGAGTGGTTCACCAAGACGTAGTGGTATAATGGTCGACCTCTTTGATCCCGGTGAACAGTGAATGCGTCATCTTTATTTACTATGACGCATTAGTTTGTTTTGTGAAATAAAAATCTTCCTAATTTCATTTTTTTTTAGTTTTTGATATCTTAGAAAATTTGTTTTCAACATTCGAATTAAATACGAAACTGGTAGTAGTAGACATTGGGACTTCTGGATCTGTATAAAATACCAGCAGACGTATGAACTTCCGGTTCTATTTAAATTACCACTAGAGGTATGGACTTCCGGTTCTATATAAAATACCAGTTAGCACACGCGCGTCTGGTTATTCTGTCAATATGAAACTTGTAACGAGAAGGAAATACAAGACCAATTCAATTTAAAAATAAAACTCACTATGACGTAATTCAAAGTCGTATGATTCCTATTTTAATACGAGAAATCTTGGATGTTGTGAATTTTCAGTTTTTATTACGACGTTCAATATTTGTGATGAAAATCTAAATAAATATCATTTTGATAAGGTCATAAAGCCAATCAATCATCATTTTAATAACAGCACGGAATAAAAAAAAAAATCTGAAAGAAACAGAAATGGATAAATTATTTTCAGGGAGTGGGCTTGAGTGGGATTAGGCACCAGTTGTCATGTTATGGTCGGTCGCCATCACCTTTCTAGCGCGTTCACACCATCGCTCTCCCTGCAAGCAACGTCACCATTATGACCACCTTGATCTTACTTGTAGTACACCGAGTTATCTACTCTTGGTAAGAATGGCGATACACCCAATGTCGTGTTAATATTATCAACGACCTTACAGTTTGCAATCATAGCAGACAAGTGAAAACTTTTATTTCTCCAAAATAGTTATCTTTTACTATTTTTAATCTCGCAAATAAGCAGAATAGATCACTATATTTACAGAAAAACATGTTCAAACAGAAATTTATATAAATGGAATCCCAGAAAAGTATAGACGTTCAAATTGGAGAGTGTTGATATGTTATTAGCTGATCGAGTCTGTAGACTTTGTTGACAGTAATCACATGTAGTACTTCCGGTTATTGACCAATAAAATATCGACATTGACCACGAAAACCCAGTATTATCAAGGTTACATGACGTAATAAGTGAACCTCGGCGAAGATCAAGGTGCAGTGTAAAAAAAAAACAAAAAAAAAAACCAACAACAAACAAACAACAACAAAATAAAAACGAAATATACAAAACATTACAACAACGATGGACGGATAATTTTGGTAACAATACTGATGGATGAACGTGAACATGCATGATGGATAATACATATATAAATATTACATCCATTTCAGATTTAAATCGAACCCTATCCGTCTAAGTTTACTACCATGCTCTCTAGATCTATTAATGATTGCTGTTATTGTTATTAGGTTTAGTAGAAATATTAGTATTTTATTATCTATCTAGCTGCGTCTAATCAATCTAAAGTCACGTCCAAAAATAATCCATTAATTTGAGACTAATGGCGATGCTCGATTATACGTTCTGGAATTTAATTCTATCAAACCCAAAAATAGTGACAATCGAGTGTAGATGGGGATTTGGGGTTAGAACGCATGCGCCGACTGCGCGAGAAAATATCTCAACCAACCATGACAGCTGAAGCATATTCCTAGTGTCTAATTAGGTCATGATTCTACTCACACCACCTGCGTTTTCTAGAGAGACAGAACCGTGACAGGACTGAATTCCCCGTCAATCAATTGCTATTCTGTCAGTTCGGAACGTTCCGGACTGACGATTGAGCATCCCCGATATATGTTTTTTATAATTAAGGGTGAGATGTCTGTGAGATTAAATTTCGCGAATTCAAAATGAAATGGGGGTTTAACGGCCCATGAAGACGGGTTAGTCAAACTGTCACAGGAGACCATTTGAGCGACTAAACGCTATCCTTTGCCAGACCCTGCATCATGGACCCCGCATCCTTCAAAGGGGACATCACACTGGAAAATTCGAAGGTACTTTCTCGGTCAAACACCGGGATCAAATCTGGGAATTCAAGGTTAGCGAGCTAGTGTCTTACTCACTGAGCCACTGCGGCTTGAGGACTTTCCGCCCGAGCAACTTACTAAACAATATAATAAAGTGGTGGTATTCGTCGTCGATTATTAAAGAAATTTTAAATCTGAAATGGATGCATAAAGCACACAGGGATAAAATGATATTTTTAAAGAATAAAATCAAAAACTGTTCCTTTATTTCAATGACAAATCTGTCTTGTTTTAAAGCTAAAGTTTCTAAAAAGAAATTGTATCAGAATTTAACGATAAGTTGTGATCACTGATTTTAATTTCGCATGTGCATTGTGGAACAGTTTTCGTGTATACTTGCATACAACTCCCATTGGGTCCTGAACCTAGCCGACCGGCATTCCGCAGACAAAATGGCGTCAACCCATACGAGTTGATCTGAACAAATAAAAAGCAGACTGTGTTAACAATATTACACTTCTTACTCCAGTTATCTCCCCTTGACCATTCGACACCACACACAGAATCATCGTCATTTATGTCACGAGCAAATTGGGTGAGATTAAAATAATTATGTACAAAAATAATATACTTTCGCTGACTTTCCCGCCATTTATACTAATACCATGCGCATAATAATGATCCTATATCAACCCAAAGCAACGACAAAGGTTTTTCCCCGAGAGCAAAAACCATCCACGTGACAGACATTACCAAATATGGGTATATAAACATTTATAAAACAAACTTGTAAAGAAATACCTCCATGTAAACATATGTATGAAAATCAGAGG